TTCGTGGATATATGATATTTTTAATTCAATTCACTTTAAATTATGCTCAGATTATGTTTGTTTTCCTTCAAACTAAATTTCTAACCCAGAATAGAAGTGTTGAAATAGTGATAATTTGTTTGATGGAATAGACGTTTTGACCGTTGCTCAAAGCGTCACCCAGGAGCGAGAAACATATTTGCGTTCATTGGCCGGGGTGATGGGGATCAGGTATAAAATTCAAAAGTGTGAGGATTAAGTTGTTGTCCATTCTCTCGAGCTAATGAATTAAGGAAAGAATGCGCGGTGATATTCCTTATTTGTGCTGATTAATGGTTCACATTGGTTCTTCCAGACCATCGTAATAATGGAATTCTACTGCTGTGCATTGTCTGGAAAATATTATAAAGACTCTCTTGACTTTCAACCCGAGCGCTGGCTGAATAAAGACAAAGACGAAAATCACGCCTTTACCAATCTTCCATTCGGATTTGGAACCCGTATGTGCCTTGGTAAGAGACCTACGTTAGTTTAAATGGACTGCGTTCAGACTCTCTTTTAGCGCCACTCGACTCTCGCGCGCGCGTCATACCCCTCACTGACTAAATCTGAAGAAAAAAAAGGGACTGCTCGCAGTCTAGCTTTAAAAATTTGTTCGGACCTCCAACTGGTTTACACTACGTTTTGTCTGTGAACAGGCTAAGTTAGCTTAAGTTTCAAATTTTCCCAGGAATGCTCACTTTTACGGGTTTATATTAACCTAACCTTCACTCTTTACCTTGTCTTTACTCTTTGCATTGTCCCGCCTCGAATAGCCTTGCTAGCTGCGGGCAATACTTTTGTAATTTTATTTGTTTATTAATAAAGTTTTGTTGTTGTTGTTTGTTGTTACCTCGCTCCGATCCGTAGGCTCTGATTAGTTTGTTGTTGTTACTAAATTTGGCAAAACGTTTTGTTCAAAAGCATGGTTGATTGTCTTGTTCGGTTTTAGGACGTCGCGTGGCTGAGTTGGAGTTGTACATTCTTGTCTGCAAGGTATGCGTTGTAGGGGTTTTTATGCGCAATGTTTCTTTGTCCGATCCTCTTAAGTATTTTTCAAGGACACTGGACTTTGTATTTACGACGACCAGAACGCGAGGGAGGGAGCTCATCGCGTTCTTGTACGTCCGATTAGTTCATGCCTTCTTTTTTCCCACGTTTGGGTCGTAGGTTTGTAAAGGCTGTTTCTCTACATCGCTGTCAGTCAAGCAATAGTTTCAAATTTTATCAAGGAGAAAAGAAGTTTCCTTTCCATTTGCATACTACGAACAAAATTGAGGGAGAGAGGGGTAAGGTAGTTAGTCAAGGGGGGTGGGACACCTATTTGCTAGTTGCTTGGTTTCCATGGGAGGAGACATCTTAGGAATTATAGTTATTATTAATCCTTTTTCTATGATTTTTTTTCTTGCAGTTGCTTCAAAGATTCCGTTTAGAGTATCACCACGAACCATTAGAGATGTACCAAAAATTGTTTGCCGTTCCGGATAAACCGGTTAAAATCAAGTTTGTGGACCGGCTGTGATTAGCAGCATACATCTGTATGTGTACTATCATGCATGTTTTTGTGGTTAACGTTTTTATAGAAACAGTAACCATTATTCTGTGTTTTCACTCACGTGGCCAGCATCTATGCAAATTTATCGGAACAAAAGAAAGCGTTTACATAAGAAAAGAGTTCAACTCCCACAGGACTGGTTTGGGACACAAACATGGCCGCCGTTTCAGTGTTTTGGGACACAAATATGGCCGCCATGACGTCATGTCAAAACACACAATTCTGTAAAGTTTGTAAGTAAGTAAGTATTAATAGACGTCGAACTTTTCATGAGCTGCATCTACAATGTAGTAGTACACTCTGGCTTAATAAGGGGTGTGTTCGAATGATCGTATTCCGGAATAAGAATCCGCAAAAGTTTTGTTGCAAATCTCTAATACCGGCGTACTTTTTGTGCCACTTACAACGCTACAATCATCGGGATATCTAACTTATTTTAAGCAGATTTCTAGTTATTGCAAAGCAATGAACACCAAAATGAGTGATTTTTAGAGTAAATTCTTTTTATTCTTGTTCCGAAATACGGTCATCGAATACGCCCTAAGTACATGAAACTTGCGGCGTTTGAATCAATTAAGAACGCCTATTTCAATTTGGAACGGCTCAGCCGTTTTTTCCGGGGATTTTAGTGCTAGTAAGGCCCTCAAGTTTTGTCAATAACATCCTTTTGTAAGTAGCCTTAGATTACAATTTTATTTTTTTCAAAACAGCCGTTTTACAAAAAACACTGGACGTTAGATTCGCATACAAACACAGTATTTTTTCTCGCGGTTGCCTACCCGACAAGATGGCTTCCAAAACCGTGATAAGTCTATTGCAGCAGATATTCTTTATATAGCGGTTCTCATCAGTCGAGTGGTATTTTTGTCTATTCTTTCTCTTTTTTTTAGGCAGAAGAGCAGTTACTTTGTCTCGCATAACGTGTGAAATCTTCCGCGCCATTTTCTCCAGCTCTACCCTCCTAAATAGCTGCATCGCACGACTTCTTTGCGTTGCGTCTGCTTTCCTTGTCTTTGCCCATATCGATACCATTGATGTCAGTCGTATCGATATCAGCAAACGTCTTCCAAAATAGATTACTGCTTCCTAGCCATGGAGAATTAGCCGGGGCATTTTGAAAAACAAATATTTTAAATAAACAGTTTAGCTATGGATCATGATGGATTTTGCACCTCTCCTTCCCTGCGGCGGCTCGCCATTGTTCTTTCCTCCATATACTCTGGCATGCGACATTCAAAGGCGATCAAGCAACCTGATCTTAACAGGTTTGTCTGGAGCAGTAACTAACTTTTGGCGAGGCTCCACAGGCTCTTGGTGACACGATTCCACGCGAAAACGCTGAAGAAACTATGGGGGAGAGAAAGACAAAATCTTGTCATTTTCTAATTTTTTTGGATGCCGCCTTTATTTTTAAAGCTACAGAACACAGAACAGTTCGTTATGTCTTTCTTTTCAGTATTTGTTGGCTTTTAAATGTGTTGTTGAATACTACAAAACATCTAACCCGCTGCTTTCAATTGGTTATTTTCGCGGTCATTTCGTTATTTTCGAAGCAGGGTGCTTCAGGATTCAATAGCCTGCGTGGTAGACAGTCTAAATCCCTGATATAGACTATTTATTAAAAACTGAATCATTGGATAATACAATTCTAGAACTGTGATTGACTTAGCCATCATGGTATATGACATTATAGCATGCTCTCCAAATATGATAACTGTACGCGTCTGGTCAAATTAAAAACAAGCTGAAAATCGGTTGGTTTTACAAATAAAGTCGGGAAGAATTCTCGATATTTTGTGGGCGTTTTTAATAAAACAATTATTCCACTCGCGCTTGTTGGATGTGAGATGATTATAGCCAACGAGGCGCGTACGCCGAGTTGGCTATCTACCATCTCATATCCAACGCGCACTCGTGGAATAATTGTTAAATAGACTATTTTTTTATCGAGTTCTCTATCAGCGCCTCGAGTGACAAGTACGGCTGCTACGTACGCAGGCTAGGATTCAAGGGCTCATGTGGAAATTCTGACGAATGAAAAAGGTTATTTGACTCATTGAAGCCGGACTATGGAAATAGTTATGCCTTTAGTCGGTATCGTCATGATTCTAGTTGGCGACACCGAGGGACTGTGAAAGTTGCCCATGCAGCATTATGCGAAAATGAGAAATTGTCGAAAATAGATACTTACTTGACAAAGAAATACATAGATCTCCAACTCAGCTACACGACGACCTGCAAAAACGATCGGTAAATCATAATTCTAAAATAGATCTTCAATTCTGCAATGTACTGTCAAACATTATACAATGTAGTAAACGCTACGTGCGCTGCGATTGGTCCGTCTCAATTACAGTCGACTCTCTCTTAACGGACACCTCTATAAGACGGACACCTAGAGTTGGTCCCTGCCTTTCTTTACTCCCTTTATTTGACTCTCTAAAAGACGGACATCTCTCTAAGACGGACACTTACTGCCGGTCCCAAAGGTGTCCGTCTTAGAGGGAGTTGACTGTACACCAAACTCGACTCGACACAACTCTCGATTTTGTACCTCTATTGATTGTACTTCACTCGTTTCCCCTGTTCTTAACTCTGCCGTTACAATGCAATTCTATACTTGGACGCCAAGGTAAGATAATCCGGATTCTGGAATCGGGCAACTTTTGGCTTGTGGAATCCGGAATCTCGGGCTTTGGATTCCGGAATACAGCTCAAGGAATCCGGAATTCCGCTAACGAATGAAATCCGGAATCCCTATTCCACTGTCAAAGAATCTGGACTTCAATCCTGGAATCCGGAATCCACTGCCTCGAGTCCGCAATCCAAGATTGTCTTTAATTACCTGGCCTGAGAAAACAGCCCCCTTTTCAAGACGCCACCACTGGTTTCCCTGCGAAATGACGTCTGGGAAATGAGCGCAGAAATTCCATACTGACGACGCAACACTATCCAGATCTGGGTAGTGCTTCTGATTGGTCGTGCCGTGTGGAAAATTTGCTTCAACCAATCAGAAGCACGACCCAGATCCGGGTAGTGACGCTTCATCAGTATGGAATTTCTGCGCTCATTTCTCAGATGTCATTTCGCGGGGAAACCAGTGTTGGCGTCGTGAAATGTCGACTGTTTTCTCAAGCTACCTTGCCCAGGGCGAACTAGGGATATAACAAAGGTCGCACGTCTGCTTGGTCACGTTTCTAAGGGAACGTTCGATTGAGAAACATGGATTCAGATTTTCAAATCCGGATTATAGGTTGCAGTAAAACGCGAAATCCAAGGATTGGATCCGTTCGATTGGCAAATCTAATTTCGAAATCGTTCTGATATCTGCTTGATCGACTAGAAAAACCAATCTTCATTGCCGCAGATAGAAGGCTATTATAGTCGATTAAGTGAACAAAGTCATCACGTAATTAAATGATTGGACCTACACTTTTGATGATGTTAGTTCCTTACCTACACACATACGGGTTCCAAATCCAAATGGCTGATTAGAAAAGGAGTGAATCTCATCTTTGTTTTCTCTCAGCCATCGTTCTGGTTTAAACTCCAAGGGTTGTTTAAAATACTTTTCCGAACGCGCTGTGCAGTATTCTTGAAAGAAAATAAATGTCTACAAAAACACAAGGTACATTGTGGAAGCTATTAAACCAACAAGGCGCCAAACTTTTCATCGATTTCAGGCAAGTGGTTATTAAAAAGCTTCCCTTTAGGAGCCAATAAAGAGCCTGAGCCATACACGACGAGCATACCCCCTATGCGAGAACCCCACCCCTTCCCCTTGTCTAAATGATCAATCCTGTATATTCCAATTCATAAAAGGCAAAATCGTACACTCATTCACTAGTCAAACCATAACCTTAATATGTTTTAAAACCTTAAGATTATGATACTAGATTAGGCAATATCGACAGATGAACCGTTACCTTTATACCATATTACCCACCAGAAAGTCTAATATTATCTTTTCTTCATTACATTCCAACATATTAGCTTTTACAAGTTTTCAACATACTAATGTTTCGAGGAATACGTCTATAAACTTAATAGTTTACCAGTCATCTTTTTTGTGTGGGTAAATTTTGCTGGGTTTGTTGGACATAAAAACGGTTAAAGGTGCTACCGAAAGTTGCAATGGAGTCTTACTTGTGCTGGGACTTTGTATCCTGATAACTCGACATCCTGTTCCAGTATTCGCAGATTCACTCCAGTCACAGGAGTTAACCTGTGGTAAAATAGAGAAACTATGGAACGAATCAAGCATCATTATTTTATTTATTTATTTTGTTTATTAAATAAACTTACCCTCAAAGGTGTGATCACGTACAACGTTAACGATGTTCAAAACAGAAACAGACCACAAGCCACGAACACAGCCCTGTCTCCACGGTTCCCGAATGGATACCATTATCCTGTTTTCTTACTTAGGGTTTGCAGAGCAACTAAAGTATTTACTAAACGCCATAAAAACATGTCATAGTACGTATGAAAGGAAAAATACATAATTACGCTATTCACTGGATAAAGACTTTCGAAGTGGTTATTGCAGTAAAGAAAAATCAAGCTTCCATTGGGGTTAAACATAGGCAATACGGTGCGCACCTCATTGACTCCCTGGTGAAAACCTTAAGGTATGACACTTTAGCAAGATGTTTTGTTGTGACATCTCCATCCTTCCCAACAACACTCTTTACCTCTTGGTATATCTTATCTTGGATGTGAGGGTATTTTCCCAGGTTATAGATCATCCACAGTACTGAATTTGATGTCTGGTTAAAAAAAAGGAGAAGAAAATAACCCTGAAGAATCTTACTTCCCCTTAGTTGTTAGGACTCGCAAACTTAGCAAACTATGAAGCAAGCTGCTTTCGTCAATGAGTTGAGCCAGGCCCGAAAGATGGTCATCATGATTAGTCGACTTTGTCTTGTCCGGAGGAAACTATATTGGCCATTTTGGGAATTTTATGCCGATTTTGTCGAGTTTTACGTCATAAAACTCTAGTTGCCCCTGTAGCGCTTAGTTTACATCGCGATACAAGAGTTTCCTAAGCACTCGAGCTTCAGTAATTCCACACTCACACAAAAAAAAACTGTAAAAACGATATGAACTCGCGCTGTTGCTTACCTGTGTCGTCATCCAATATGTCGGCCATTTAGCCGTAATTGGGTAGAAGTCTAATCTTTTCCTAGAGGCTGTGTTACCCTTGTCCAGCGGGCGGTCAACGGCTAAGCTACACAAAGTACGCATCTGTTACACAAGGGTAATACGGCCTGGCTCTTGGAACAAAACTGTTAAAAGCCATAAAGCTCTCCTTTTAACCCATTAGAGCGATTTTCGTATGACCTTGAAATAAAAACGCGCGAACAAAACAGAAACAACAAACGAACGCAAATAGAGCGATTTGATTGGTTTATCAAACGGATACAAACGCGCGTGGCTTTTGGTTCGTTAAGCGAACGCTCGGGTGACAAAACTTCATGCCCGAGAACTTTCTAGAAATCAATCGATTCTTCGCTTTGACGTCATACTGCAACACGATTGGCCAATCGAACAATACCTTTTCCATATTAGGGTTTTCTTTGGCGGAAAAACGAAGAGCCAATGTTTTGATCTTTTCATTCATTGGCTGATAAAACAAATAACGAACACTTACAGAAACCATTTTTCAAGGCAATACGAAAATCGCTCTAAAGACATTTCAGTGATGCATTTCTACATGTATGTTAGTTGGAGCATTGCACTCACCGTGTCAACTCCATCCTTTATCATATCAAGCGCCATACCATTGATTTCTTCTGGCGAAAGTTCCCCCTTTGTTATCATATATGTTAACAACGAAACAACTAAAATCAATGGATAAATAAACGAATTAATAATTATCCTAGTTTCATAAAGACATGATTTTTTGGAAATCTCCAGTCAACGTATTTTTTCCATTTATGCTCTGATAAAGAGAAAAAAAAAACTGCGCCATTGTTTTCGAGTTTAGTTTTTGGGGCAAAGCACTACTCAGTATAAGCTTACTTTATACTATGATGTTGAATATGTTAGCGGTTCACATTTACATCTTATGTTGTAACTACCTAACATTAATCTTGGTTAAGGGTGCTTTCCATTTGTAAGAGCTGGCCGGCTGTACCAGTGACCGACCAGTCAGTTTGAAAATGAAACAGACTTTTTCCATGATTCTTGGTGAAAAACGTTATCCTTCGTGCATACTAGCTATTTAGGATTTGACTGATCTGGCTGGAGAGTTGGGAAATAATTATTGCGACGGGAATGGTCTGCCCGGTCAGTTCTGACAAATAGAAAAAGCCCTAAGAGTCTACATCTTTTAGTTGTGAAGGAGGGCGGACAACGCATAAACCCTACACTTTATGGCTAAATAAATTTCCCTTCTTTCTTTTCTTCTTCAGCAATTCCCCACTCCGGGGAACATCTTTCATGACAACTGCATTGTAGCCTTCCACACAGGCGTTTTTAGGGGAGCTCGTACTTAGGGACGAAATATGAGCTCCCCTAAAAACGCCTGCGTAAGAAGCTACAAAATTACCCAACTGGAAAAAATTCCCTGTAAATGCCCGAGGAGAGGGGAGACCGGGACCTCATTCGGCAACCTCAGCTCCTTTTCATCGAATCACGGCTTTTTCGGGGAATAAATTTTTACATTTCTCACTAAGAGAACGACTGCATTTATCTCGAATTACCTTGTGGCCCGTCTGAGGAATTAAGTCCCTTTTCCGTCTCGTCTTTTAGCTCCCTTAGCTTTTGCTTCACAAGATCCTGACCGATGTCGAAAAGATCGTCGGAGGCCTTAAGGAACTTCTTCAATGTTGGTGTCTCGAAATACTGAGAAGCAACTTTCCCAACTGGATTAAAAGTCAGCCGCTGAGACAGCTCGAAGCGCTTACGAACTGTGTTAATGAAATGAACGCCTTGTTTATTTGGCGGGTCCTCGTATAGCCCAAGACGAGTGTCGAATGCAAATGTTCCTATACCTGGAGATAAAAAAGCCTGTTTTTTATGTAAAGGTCACATAATAATTAACCCCGGTGAATAAAGGAAAATGAGACTTCTTCAGTTGAAAAGTCGATTCGGAAAAAAAATATCGCCCCATGTAAGGAATCCAGAAAAGTCTTGAATGCTGGATCCCAAGCCGTGGATTCCGGATTCCAGAAAATCGATTCCTGCCTTTGTCAGTGGAACTTGGATTTCAGATTCCAATCCTTAGTGGGATTCCGGATTCCTTGTGCTGTATTCCAGATTCCAAAGCCCAAGATCGCACGTTCCTTTTCCACAAGCAAAAATTTCCCGGATTACCTTGACGTGTCGGATCTGATTACCTGACAATCGCCAGGAACAAAGAGCTGATTGTCCATTGAGACTTGCTGCACTATCCAGCTGATCTCCTCATAGCCCGAACTTTGCATTAGTTTCCTGATCTGCGTTGAGAGTAGGGGCATAGACAGTGATGGCAGTTGCTTGTCCTGTAAGAGTTCTAAGCAGTCAGCTACGGGAGTGGTGATACAGTCAAGTGACTTGTTGTGGACTGCATAGCCAACTCCGTAAAGGCGGCCGTCTCTTCCTTTCTTTGACGTATTGAGATTTAGCCAGAAGTGTGTCCTGGAGAACGCGGTCGACACAGCTGCTGTCTTCCTATGGCTGGTATCCAGTTCAGTCAGTCAGTCAGTTAGTCAGTCAGTCAGTCTAACGGTGGAAAATTCAATATGGCTAACATTTGCTTAGTGCGCGGTATATATCCTAACCATTGTCATTGCGGCTAGCTGCGCCCTTCCCTTCCAGCCACAAGGCTGACAAGGAGGGTTGTGGTTGCCATTCTTTCAACGTGGGCCTTCCGTTCAAAGATCTAGACTTACATTAATCTAGATTAATATCTACTATTTTGGCAAACTTACATGGTTTATAGATAACCTGTAATTACGGCAAGGTGAAATGATCTCGATACTGAACGTAGTTTGTTTCTTGAAAGCGTAACAAGAAGCCAACTACTTACCCTCCATTGACCATTTGCCCAGTTCTCCTTCCAAATCAGGGATATGATCATTTGGACCACATTTTTCCTTCAGCTCAACGAACCTGGCGATAGCGTCCTTAGTCACGGCTTTGAAGTTTTCGATGTTTTCTTCCACTATTTTAGGACGCAAAATTTTTGGTGAGATACTGTGTCGCAGTCTGTACCACTCTTGACCATTTCTGAAATATATATGAGCAAATCGTGCTAAGACTTGAAACCTTCCTGGCTACTGATGATTTAAGCGCGTGGAATCGAAGTTGCATTCACCTTTTGAACTTGGCATGTTCTTTTTTGCACTCCTCTTCAAGGAATGTGCCTAAATTTGACAAAGTAAGCGAGTCGGAAAAATCGCGAAAAAGATTGAAAGAAGGCGATTTCACTTTTTTTTTTAGCCTAGGAATAGACTCCTCGTTGAGCGAAATAGGGCTAAATATTGCCAGCAGATGGGAATAGGAGTCCCCTCCAAGAAGTCTGGCCCCAGGCTACTCTAAACTCTCCCACCCCCACAAAGTTATTGTCGCGACCAATGATCACTGAAGCGTAGGCGAAAATTCAAAACTCGGGTTGAAAATATTACGAGGTCGAGGTCAAGTGAGTATCGAGTGCTAAGTTCTACTCTCAGCCTCCAACAAATGTAGAGCGCTGGTTCAGGTATCAAAACTACTTAAAAATAACAGCGTATGAAAATTAGTTCGGTGTTTAGTTTAATTCACAGCGTCGAGATGAAACTTGCATGGTTCTACCGTGACGTGGCGTTTTGCGTGATGGCAAACCCGTCGAGGACTACAAATTTTTGAATACAGGTAAAGGTGACGAAGAGAGTTGAAAATGTACAACGAGCAAGGTCAAATAAAAAGGTTGAGTTCAAAAGCCACAAGACGAGTTAAAACGTTTTAAAATCCAATGATGTGAAATCTAAAAGAAGAGTGTAAAATTTTGAATCAAACTATAAAATCCAAGTGTTGAAGTTGAAACTATTTAAATGATGAATTTAGAAATTAAACCATTGATTTCGGAGGGGATGCTACGCCATATTCCGTAAAGGAGTACAAGTCAGTTGAGTGTCACTAGCCTGTTCACTTTCCGTCTCAATTCTACTAGCCTGTTTACATTCCGTCTCAATTTTCCCCGCTTTAAGATCGTCATGATATCTGGCTGTATTGAGAGGAAGCTTGAACAAGTTGTTGTATTGAGAAGTAAGCGTTCGAACACCGGGTTCGAGCTCGACGATCTTTATGCGGAAAACAGGGAACTGCAAACAGTACAAATCCACCAAAAATAAAAACCGATAAAAAGGACCCTTTTTGTCTACTTACGAAAGGAATATGCCAGGGTTGCCAGTCCTCCGTCTACGGTGTTCAGTCATATGATCAAACAGGTTTGGCCGTTTAGGATATTTTCCCTCTGCGCGAAACACTTTCTCAAAGTCATTGGGATCCATTAAATGCACCGTTGGTCGACCCAACAATTCTTCTTTGTAAATGGGCCCATATTTGGCGAACATGACATCGTGCATTTTGTATGGCTTCGTAAAGCCTTTGGTTTTCCGATAAAATTCAACGATCGACCAGAAGCTTTTCCCGGGTCCTGGGATCTCTTCGAACGGACGTACAGTGGCAGTGTCTCCCACATCACGCTTTCTCGAGACGGTTTCATCTGTTTTCGGCAGTGCCGCCGCAGTGTTCTGTGATCTCAAAACGACAGCTGAAACAGTCTTAAAATACTGGGACGGCGGTCGAAGGGTTCTACGAAACATAGCAAAACTACTGCAGTGATCTCAGTATAAAACCTGCCACTTAAGAGCAAACAAAAATTTTGCGCATGATTATAAATGCACCTATCAATGGGTTGCCTAGGATGGGGGAGGGGGAGGGGGAGGGGGAGGGGGGGTTGCAACCCACGGGAATTAGACTCAGTGAAGCGCACATGGGTAGGGAATTTGACACCCTGAACGTCCCCAGGGTGGGAAATTTGACCACCTGCTATCCTGGAAAGTGAAGGACGGCAGAACGAAACTTGCTTTTTAAGTTTTATGATAAAAAGTATTTTGTCCCTCAGAGCTCCTCACCATTGAGAAGCAATACTTACACAAAGCCTCATTTTGAAAATATGCCTTCTACTTACTTGTTTCCACCAGATGCTACCTTGCCACAAGATTTTGATAAAACGAAAGATAAAAAAATCATACATAAAGACATAAAAGATTTCTGGAATTCTGTGTTAGATTTGCTAGTTCACTCAAAATGTCCAATTAAATGAAATTTAGTTCCACAGGTACAAAATATCAGCTGTTAGAAATTAACCTTTCTGGATGATGGCATGTCATGTTCGGGATGGCATTGCTCATTTTGCATTGCACTTTCAGGAGTATAGCATGTGTGTTAAATTGCCAGCCACACTAAATATCCAGCTAGAATGTGTCTTCTACACTTGGGGAAATGCACAAAGTTTGTGGGTACCATCATTTTGTCACCAAGCAATTATTTCTCTCTAGAGACGCTCAGTGCTGCAATAAAGACAGTTGCGAGTGCCAATTAGTTCGCTCCGGGGATGGGAATTTGACTCAAAATGGAGACTTAAGGGTGGGAAATTGACTTTTGAAAACTGAAAATGTCAAATTCCCCTTGCGTTGCCCGCCCCCCATCCTAGGGCAAACCATTGATAGGTGCATAACGCTGACGTCGTCACAAATAGCAACCGCAAGTTCGATGTCTCGCTTGATGGAAGACTTTTGCCTCACACAACGAATCTTAATGCCTCCGTTTTTAACTCCCGCTGTACGAATTTGTCGAGTCAGATCACTGAAAGAGGGAAAATATCAACTTCCGATTGCCATTTTTGACGTCCGGGACGTCACGTTTGCTTAAGGTCCCTATTTTGTGCGTGACTACACTTGTGGAAAATGTACTTACTGCAAGCCAATTCAATTTAATCCAGGGTTGGCAAACACCCCAAATTTGGCGTATTTTACGCCAACAACTTTTAAGATGACTTCACAGAGGTTACGCGGTGGATTACGGAGGGAGTCACTTTGACTCCAGAAATTTTCGGTTGTAAAATCGTTTTTTTCCTTACCTTTTTCAAAACAAATACAATCTACATTAACTGAAAACGTTGTAAACCTGATTTAAACCACTTAAATTGAAGTACTAATTCTTCATGTATGTACAGGTAGAGGCAATCATGGGTATTCGAGCCTTTCAAGGTCAGCGCACTCCCACATGAGAAAGTAGATACTTCATGTTAAATACAATCTACATTAACTGAAAACGTTGTAAACCTGATTTAAACCACTTAAATTGAAGTACTAATTATTCATGTATGTACAGGTAGAGGCAATCATGGGTATTCGAGCCTTTCAAGGTCAGCGCACTCCCACATGAGAAAGTAGATACTTCATGTTTCCGTCATGATAGCGTATACGCGCCAAAACCACGCGCTGATAGAAATGGCATCATCGTCAAAAGCGTTAAAGGAGAGTGACTTACTAAGGTTATCCAAAGCCGTCAAAAGATTTTTTAAAATTATTATTACTATTTTAACTCTTGTTTAAGGAATATTACATTGCTTTTTTCGTTGTGTTACTTGACTCCAAATTCTCCAAAATGGCACCAAAAGTCACACTAGGGTCGATTTCCGCTGCACACTCAGCCCGCGGGCTAACTTCCCGAGCAGCAGCTAGTACTCGAGCCTAAAGTCACACTGACTCTGCTGACCTCAGCCATCAATAAAATTTACAAACCCAGTGATCCAACTGTTTATGTTGCTCCATGTGTGGCCTGGTTGAGGCCACGTTTATGTGGAGAAAAGCGCTCGGTGGGTTTTTTTATATGGAGAAAAGCGCTCGGTGAGTTTTGTAAATGAGATTCATGACGTTGTATATATTTTAACAGTTTTACGTTTTTTTATATTTATAGGATGTTATTATTTATTTAGGACTTTATCATTTTCACTTTATTATACTCACTATTGTAAGATTCTAGCTGTTATATTATATTATATATTATATTTTAAATACACAATTCAGCTTAGTAGCTGCAAGCTTTTTACAAATAAACTATCCATCATCGTTGTCCCGGATACAAGGGCGACTCTGGAGCTACCCTGCCGGGCGAGCCTTACAAAGCCTGGCGAATGGTGATACAAGATTTACCTTGCTCAGCAACATCTTTGCATGACTTTATTTACCCGCACAGTCATTTCCCTCCTAGCTGGGCCAATCTTCCTCCATAATATAAACACTTTAGCTGGCCCAGCCGGTCTTACGTGAGAGTCAAACCTGAGTCACATGCTTGCTTGACAAAATGCTTGACGACTGCCCCACATCAAGAAATGAAGAATACAAAAAAAATATATTACATTTGAACATTTTACCTTGGAACTCCTGTTGGTAAATGCCGTTAAAGCTGGTGGAGCCTTTAAAAAGTGACGCATATTTGAAGATCAGGGGCGCTAATTCGAGCATTTAGAGTAATCGACTGCAGGGTTGTGTAATCAACTTGCAACGATTTCTCACGAAAGCAGTGCATTGTTACCTTGAACATTAAGTATATAAAAATTTACATTCTGAATAATCGTTTTCAGCCAACTTCATTGAGACCTTTTGCTTGAAGAAAATTTTCCATTTCTCAAAACAGGAATGAAAAGCAAAGCTAGAAACAAACAAAATCCAAAGAAGCATGGATATCCTACAATGTCCACCAGAAAACCTGATGAAGAGATCATGAACAACTTTCCAAGCACTTCAACTGTGGCCAGAAGGGCTGAGTGTGATGCCTTTGTTCCGGGGGATGAATTCTGAGAGCTCAGCATCATCAGAGTAAAAGTTGCCGTGGTGATAATTCCACCCGATAGTTGAAGAGAGCATTCAAGGAGTGAACTCAACCAAAGGTTGCTTAAAGGCATGCTGGAGTAGAGCCATATTAATGAAAGTGGGAGTAGTCTTGCATGTGAAGTCCATAGTAGAACTTTGAGCACCCAGGTCCTTAGAAAGTGAAGCAGAATTACAACTGTGTTACATGGACCAATGTACGTCAATGTACGCACCAATGTATGGTCAATGTACGCACCAATGTATGGTCAATGTACGCACAAAACAAAGATTGTAGTCTATAAGAATCAAATGCATATTGGGCTATTTCTTGCTGCATTCCTTTTCCATTCACACGAAACATGTCAAAAACATCATCATGGCTTGCAATTTTTCCAGTTTTGGCTCCTAAGCTATAATCACTCTAGCCATTGCATGGGTTTTCTGAATGCAAGTAAGCAACAAAGAAATACTATTGGGGCCAACAGGAACTCAAATTTTTCTTAGTTAAATTTCGGACCAGTCAAAACTAATTATAATCAACATCAAAGGCTCAAAAATGATTCACAAACCGTTTGAGTCATGGTTGGGTCCTAGAAGACAACCTATTCATCACTAAATTTAAGTAGTGTAAGACGTGTGTAAGACTCGAGACCCTGCAAACCATACCGTGTTGGGCGGTACATGCTTTGGTCAAATTAGCCTTAGACTGCGAGCAGTCCCTTAGGATGGTCACGCGAGCGAGGAAATCGAGCGAAGCGAGCGAAAGCCAGTCCTGCCGAGCTTAGACTTGACTGACTGAAGAGGGACTGCTCGCAGTCTAAATTAGCCTGCGTAGCAGGCGCCGGATTTTAAAGGGTAAAGGAAGAAATCTTAAGGACACGTGAGGGGGAGAAAAGGAGAGGAGGCCTCTTCTCCTCTAAGCGTGTTCCCCTCAACCAGCCTGTAAAAAATAACCAGCGCAGGCTAATGTCACATAAGGGGGTGCCCCCCCCCCCCCCCCCCCCCGGTTAAAACCCTACCCCTGTCTATAATGCGCCCCAACAATCCAACCCCCAAAACACAACCCCCCAATCGAGGAAGTTTGACCTAATATTCCAGAAAGTGCCCCTCCTTTATCATGGGGAACTCCCTGGTCCATCAAAAACAGAGGAACCCTGCCACAAACACCCTTT